GGGGGGTACAAGTAACGGAGGTATTTTACGGGTATAATGAAGAGATATTACATACAGTAAAACGAAGAACAACGGTCGTATATGGGCAGGCGTATGATCCCGGCTCAGCCATGCCTCACTCGAACTCCGGTTATGTGCTCTGTGAAGACATCCCTGGAGTATCCAATGACTTCACTGACACATAAGCTTGGCATACGCTCTGCTGCACAGCTGTCTCACCAGCGCGTCGTTGGCCGGATCCCAGAAACCCAGGGAGCCAACAATGAACGGGAAGACTGCAACCTCCCCAGGGTGGTCAATGGCAATCTCCTTCCTGAGGTCCTCGTATTTGACCTTTTTCTCAGCAGCAGCATCTTCAAAAGCCTTCATTCTGTTATCAAAGGGTACCGTGGCGTCAATGATCAAAGTGCGCCACTTCCGAGCATAAGATCAGGCCTGAGGCGTTGAGTGCCAAACGCCTGGTTCTCCGATACGACCTCAAATTTCCCAGCAGCTGCCTTTTTCAACCGGGAAGTTGTGCCTGGCCATATAGAGGCTGGTATACCGCATACAATGGTTGACAACGTGGGCGAGATTTTCTAAATTGTTCCCACATCGTCGACATCGGCGGTCACCAGTCCTCCAAGACGAGGATCCGTTCAGGGGCACCAGGTTAGGTTAGGCTCGGTGAACAAACCTCCAATCTGCAAATCTGCAAAATTCGCCAGCCCTGAGGAAATGGCTGGACGCAGCGTGTGCAGCAACACATTCCATGGCTTTGTCTTGGTCCGGCTTGTCGATCAGAGCCTGGCCTCTCACGATGCGGAAAAGGTCACGCAGCGTCTTCATGACCTCCCTTCTCTGCTTAGCACGCATCGTAGTTCTCGCGTGAGTGATGGAAGGGGGGCCATCAAGGGACCAAGACGCAGTCAGAATCCCAGAGGCGTTTAGGGCACGGGACCAGACACTGGCAACCCCACTGCCGCGATTCTCGCGGAAGGGTCCCTCATTATCGCCAGATAGATAACAACCGACCTCAGAGTTGGATGGAGCTCGGCCAATCCTCCGGCTGGTGACGTCCCTCACATGGTCAGCTGCTTCCCTTGTGACCCATCCATCAGGGGAGGTGAGTAGCTTGAACGCGCTATCGACGGCCGCAATGTCGGAATCCTCGGCCAGCCTCGTGATCCCGCAACAGCCGCGAAGAGTGGAACCGTAAACGAACTCATTCGAAGCTTCCTGTGGGAGCTTGAGAGTGGCTTTGATTTCAGGTCGCAGGATGTCGTCGATGGTGTTCCATTCGGTTTTCAAGAACGTTCCCATGCGCTGGAGGTGGACCGCACAGGGGAAAAAGAAAGTTTTCAGCGCGTCAATCCTTTGCCACGGAGCGAGCTTGCTCCTAGTAATTTTATGGCCCAGCTCAGTGCTGTCTGCAAACGTAGACTTATGGGGGATCACATGGAAACCCACCTGAGCGCCAAGGAACTCGGCCGCGTCGCCATCTGCCAGCGGCTTCATCGGGGCCCCAAGGATTGAAAAGACGCTGTCCCGCACGCCGACTGGGGGTCGTCCCTCGTGGCGGAGTGGCGGAGAGAGGCGCACTTGCTGGCATTGATTTTGAGCCCAAGGCGCTCCAGCCCGACTCTCGCTTCATCAATCTTCAACTGGAAAGCAGGCGCACTGTCGGTGTGTAGACAGAGGTCATCGGCGAAAGCCATTACCCGGTGGTTGGTATTCTGCCACTGTAGCGTAGATACAATTGGGTCAATCGCCATGATAAACAAAAATTCGCTCAGAGGGCATCCTTGACGAATGCCGGACAAAACAGGGATGTCAGGGGTCTTCCCCTCGACCACGATAACTGAAGAAGTTGCGCCACTGTACAGGTCCCGGACAATGTAGAGCAGCCCCTCGCCAGCACCACAGCTCTCGATGGCAGTCTCCAACGCCAGATGGGGGATTGCCCCGAACGTATTGGACACGTCGAGCCACGCCACATACTTGTCGGAGCGTCCAGTCCTGGCCTTCTCCAGCTCGCGGTTCAACGTGTGGACGTGCTCAAACGCACCGTTCGCCGGAAGAAATCCCTTCTGGCACGGGCTTAGTGCAGAGTTGCTCACAAGCCATTCAGAGAGACGACAGGAAAAGCACCCAGCGTACAGCTTGTAAATGGTGTGGCACAGGGATATCGGCCTCCAATTGCCCAGGTCACTCTGGTCGCCTTTTTTATAAACTAAGACTATCACCGCTTTTTTCCACGTCGGGGGGACACGACGGTGTTTAACACAGATGTTGATAACTTATAATCCATACGCCTGTATACCTGATGGTTGTAAGAAAGTATATTTTATCCTTGGTTTGATAATTTTATACAATTTAGGACTTAACAGCATTTGTGATTTCAGAAAATTATTTTCTTCCAACTATTTTTGTAGATTTTGAAAGGCCCACAAAACGTTGAAACATACTTTTGGTGAAGAAGATGAAACATTACTAAGTAACGTTGATAATTATGTACAAGATATAGAAACTAACAATCTTTCATTAACTGGGATTAGCCAAAACAGTATTTTAAATAATATAAATTCCTTTCATGTAACAACTAATTTTTGTTTTGATGTAATGCATGATATATTTGAAGGCGTGTGCCATTATGATATGTGTCACATTATTACTTATTATACAGAAACAGAAAAAATATTTTCTTTAAAATATTGAATTTTAAGGAACAATATTTCAACTATGGAGAATTAGAGCAAAAAAACTTATCACCCTCATTGAGAAACATCATTTATCTAAAATTCACTTAAAAATGTCTGCCAGACAAATGATGAGCTTTGTTCACTTATTTCCATTAATTATGGGTGATTTAATACCTGAGGGTGATGATGTTTGTATTTTTTATTAATTTTTTTAGAAATAATCGAAATTGTACTAAGTTATGAGTTGTCATAGCAAAGTTCTGTTTCACGTTTAAAGTACTTGATTAATAAACACAATTTGAATTATTTACTATTTTTTAATGATAATTTAAAACCCAAACATCACATCTTAACCCATTATCCATCAATAATACTTAAATCTCGCCCTCCCAGATATTTTTGGTGTATTAGATATGAGGCTAAATACAAAGAACTTAAAATGTATGTTAATCTATTCTATTTCTAGAAAAATATTTACTTAATATTAGCTATTAAATATAAATTGAAATTTTCACACTTTTGCTTAGTCAAGATACTCACAACCATTTCCATTAAACGTAAAATTGATTCAGATCTCGAATTTCTTTCAAATAATTTAATCATGCCTTCAAACAATTTTGGTAGTTATTCTAAAATTGATTTATAGGGCACAGTGTATAAAGTAGGAAATTATGTTAGTAGATTTAAGCATGACATTTGTTTGTATGACCAGCCACCGAGATCGTGCGGAACTCCATTGACATAGCAAAAACCAACACAGACCCACCAGGTCGGGAAACTGAGGATGAGTCGACTAGTCCCCCCCATTGACTCATCACCACCCCCAACCATTCATCACCAAAATTCGGTAGTACAGGCGGAAAAAAATTACGCAAGCACCACGCTCGTAGTTCGGTAAATCGACACAACGATCAACCAACTACGAAAATGTTT